GATGAGCAATAAGCATTTTTCTTCCGTCAGTCATCAGCAGTGATCACGTTTCCTCCCGTCAACCGTCAGCAGTGATCACGTTTCACATCCGTATGTCATTGCCTTCAGCACAGTGAATAGGTGGATATAATTCTCGCCATTTAACACTTTTAGACTATCAGCTGTGCTATGGAATTTCGTTAGTCGGCAACTCCCCTCCCCCCCCGCTGGAAGTTTTGGCCTGTATTTATTTCCTATCTAAAACAGACGTAGCTGTTAACTTTTTCCAGATCAATACCATTAGTTTGCAGCTTTACTGAAGCATACCGGCACTTTACAGTAACTTCCACTTTAATGCTTTAATTTTCTGGATTAATTCCTCAATTCGTGTGTTAAGCTCCTGCAGCATCCGTTTATTTTGCGAGGGCAGCTCGCAGTAAGAACTGTGTCACTCGCGAATCGAAATTAATTTAACTTCTCACCACTTCTTCAGGCAACCTTTCTAACCCGGATTACTAAATAACCATCTTGAAACTGACCACGAAAAACTTTAACAACAGGAGATTGCCAAGCCTAACGCCTCCAAAATATTGCGTGCTCATTGATATTCCTGGTGCATAAATATTTTATTTTTTTATTGTTTTACTATATCCACACTGAAAAAGTAAAAAAGTCTCCCTGCGACGCTCAAAAATCATCAAAAAATATCCTTTTCGAAACTATATAGTAAAAAGAACTCCTTGTCGTCACAAATGATGGCTAAGCTCTTATGTAAATTACCGTTTTCTGGATAAAATAAAGCGTATTCCTACTTTTGTTGATTTTTGCAGACATAAATCTTGTCTATTTGCATTTCGCCTTACTGATGAATCATCGGAAAATACCGCATCAGTCTCTTTCACCGAAAAATGGAAAAAAATTAGGTTATTCCTTGAACAACCAAATTTTTATGGAATGTTCGAGCTGTCAAAAATTATTTTCCATTTTCCCCGGAAATCATCCGTTTCCATTTTTTTAATCTTTCCTTTTCTTTTTTTTTTTCTAAAAATGAGCACAGATGTGAAAAGACGCACAACTGCTCACTCTACATGTAAATAAATTCTTTTCCGAAAATTTGCATACGTTTCGCTCAGTGTCAAGTTTTTCCAAGACCTTAAACACACTTTACTTCAGGAATTGTAGCTCGGACGCAGCAATGAAAAATACTTGGATAGTGAAAGGAGATTTTAAAACTTTTATTGAGTATGAATTCAAAATCTACAAGATACAGTGCGTTATTTAGTACCCCATGAGCAACTCAGATTTTCCAGTATTATCTCGGAGTCATTTCCATTTCGTCGCTTGAAAAGCTCTTGAAGATTTCGAAACTTTAGTTACTTTGCGCCCTCAAAATTTTGAAAAATTCAAACAGAAATGAAGTATACAGATGTAATAAATGTTGCATGAACGGTCTGATGACGATGCAGAAGGAGAATTTGACCTTGACGATCGGTCAGTCATATCCTTCTCCCCGCTGCGCACGCAAAATTCGACGCATTTATTAAAAACTGTTCATCTTCATCTTACAACTATTGATTAAGATCAGTCCATACGTTAGTTACGCTCAACCGCAGGTCCAATTAATGCCGCCCGAGTAATTCTGGCAACTCATACGTCTGTCTCGACAACCGACAAGAAATCTAATTAATAACCTGGACATCAATTAATGCAACATGCAAGTTCATTTTAATAATTAAAATGACCTACTTAGTGACCTATAGGCATATTTTAACATCCCTCACGATTTTAGCAGGCTGAAACGCCATTTCGCGAAATAACAATCTCCCACTAAAATGCGGAACTCTGGTTACTGCAGTGCGCCCCTCGACAAATCCATCTTGCGTCAGGGAACTAGTGCCTGGTGTGTTTGCGAGAAACAAAAATAATATTTGGAACCAAGAGCTACCATAAATTTACTAATTCGTAAATAGTGTAAAATTGTATGCGTCGTTTTAGAGGAGAAATAATATTTCAGAGAAACACTGCTACTTTCGGAGGCATTTTACGAAGTCCACAGAAATTTTAACCGGGGTGCGGCAGCACTTCAGTAGCGTTGGGGACTATCCACCATCATTCTGGAGGAAACTTGTAATTTTATCACATCGAAACTGATGCACAGGAAAGGAGTGTGCAAGCATGACAAATTCGTTAATTCGGAATACCAGCATGTTCTCCATCGCGAGCGCACTATTAGTACTTGAGACTGAACAGTGAGGACAACTCTCTGCAGCATACAACACCTGAGCCGCATAAAATGCCCTGAGCAAGATGTTTCTTTAACTCCAAACATCTGTTAATGATAAACACACATGATTAGATGGTATCGCCCTCCCACACGTTACTTATGCAGAAGCAACAAAATTTCAAAAAATTGAAGAATCTCGTTAGTTCCAAAAGAGTTCAGTTTGACGCCAAAACGACGAATGACCAACAGATGGCTGTTGTCCTTAATTAAGCATGCTTTGGAAAATTTAACGGCGCAGATGCTACGCAATTACTTTGAGCAACCAAAAGTAATTAATCAGAACTATTAATTACCGATGTCTATTCTTTTTTGAGGCAAATGTTGGTACTGCGAAACCTCTTCTATGCTACATGGAAAATGCCATCATTTTGTTTCCAAGAGGAGAACCATCAACACACCTGCCTCCTACCGAAACCTCTTTTATTACTCGAGCTACACCTGTCCGCCTTTCCCGAGGAGTAAAAACTTAAGAGGGTTGTTTTAGATGAGAACTGTTGAAAGACTTACTTTCTTTTCGAGCTCTCGACTGAGACCGTAACTCGGCCCGTGATTAGCCATTGCTTAGAACGTTTATCGGAAACAACCTCCAGAAAGGCAGACAAAAAATGGAGCTCTAGCAGCAATTCAAATATTTCAAACAGATGTGCGACCGCTATGGCCGCTTCCAGTGACCATCTATCTACGCGAACAATTCCACGGCATATGAAGAATTTCTGAATATAAATGGTTGCCCGGCCTGTAGAAGAGGATGGTGGAAGCAACCAGCGCGACGATCGCTCCGACAATCACCAACAACACCCTCCCCGTTCGTGTGCACAGGGTGCTGAATGGACGGAGGAATGCAATAACCGGCCCCTCAGCTGCGCCCTCAAACAATACCAAAAGAAAAACCCGAAAAAAAAACATGCCCATTACAGACACACTTTCGTGTCACAATTTAGCATAAGCACGCATGTGTGAAACTATTAGTGAAGGGCAGGGGCACTAGGTCATCCAGAATGCCATAAACAGATTATTAATAAACTCGCAAAAAATTCCTTCTCTTCTATGAATTTCGATAAATTCTCTCTTGAGCACTCCGTTCCATGAACACCATTTTCACCAACATCATACGACACAAAATTTTCACTGAATTAGGCAGATCTCGGATTTTTTTTTATTCGAAAACAAGTAGCTGTGACTAAGAGAAGGTTAAGTGACAGACGAACTGGTAACAGTACGCAATCTGCGGAGAAGGCATTTAATCCAGAATAATCCCACAATTGCCTCACATCTAGCTGCATAAATAGTTCATAGGTTTTAAGTAAGAGCATCACCAATCCGTAATGTTTTCTCCTTTGTGGATCGGCTGGATGTTTAAAAAAGCTGACTTTCATAACTGCTTTACTTTACATTAAAGCACATAGCAAAAATAACATGAGGATCGCATTTAACGACTTGAAAATATAGGGAATTACAAGAGCAGATGACCCGGTTTTACAAGCAAAGAAAACTTTTCCTGTCGTGTCCGTGAACGATACTGAAACAGACTGCTTAGCTACGAACAAAGTAAAAGTGTGGCGCATTAAAAAGATCGATATGATGACAAACAAATACCACATTCAGCAACTCGCGAAGGAAGAAACGATTTACAGATTTTTGACTGAAAGGCAACGTGCTACCACCTGGGGGCAATTTGTTACCTTCACAGAAATATAAGGGATTTGTTAGTCGACAAATTCAAATTTACAAGGGGACAAAATCGTCTCGAGCTTTATGATAATCTGGCGGACAGGAGGGAGAGAGGAAGGGCAGGGAAGAAGGAAGGGAGGGGGGGGGGGGGGGGGGGGGGGGGGGGGGGGGGGGGGGGGA